GTAGAATGTCCCCCGATGGGACATTTTAATTTACGGCCTTACGACGCTAATATTCGGGGGTTCGATTCCCCGCGGAGGGCAAAGCAGATAGCCCAGCGTGACTTTTGATTTTTAAGAAAACTAACTAACTAAGGAAGAAACGAGTTCTGACAACCAGCGACCTCTCTGGGTTAAAATCAGTTTTGAACTTTATAGATTACTGGAAAATCACCACAGCCTTGAAAGTTAAAACAAACAATACATTACAATAAACAATACTACTGGGTAAGTGTTATATGTACACTTTAGAGTAAAAAGTGTAGGACTAACAAAAGGCAATATTGGTTAAACGAACGTTTATCACGTACTTTGATCTTGAAATGACCCTCAAAATATTTACATCCAACTGAACTATTGAACATTGTTGGGTCCATGAGGAGACACATACACATTTTCAGTTTTGCGGTTTTTATGGTCGTTTTTGCGTTTGTTACCCCCTGTAGACGGTTCTTTACTAAATTTGGCATGAAGGCTTGTTGGGTCCACGCACAGATACATGCAAATTTGGGGTTTCACATTTTGTGTTTTGCAGTTTTTATGGGCGTTCTGGCGTTTTTTTACAATTACATATAAGGGAAGCAACTTGTCATGTCCTAAGATAACCTTTCATTAATCATTAATTTACATAACTTTCATCCAGGGGAAGGGTACTCCAGCTAGTTAACATAAACTTTCATTCTTCACTACTGAATCTATAAAAATATAATAGTACTGTCTGTTGTCTGTTGTTTGTCCATGTAATTACTTTGCAGTGTGTGGATGGATCTTCACCAAAATTGGTATGGAGGTTCATTGAGTCCATGCGGGGGTACATACAAACTTTCGGTTTTGCATTTTGCGTTTTTTTATGGGCATTTTTGCGTTTTTTACCACTACTCCTCCCCCTGTTGATGAATCGTCACCAGATTTGGTACATGCGGAGATACATGCAAATTTGCGGTTTCACATTTTGTGTTTTACAGTTTTTATGGGCATTTTTGCGTGTTTTTTTTTATTATTATTACATAGAAGGGATGCAACCTTTCATTAATCATGATGAATTTACATAACTTCCGTCCAGGGGACGGGTACTTCGCAATCTGGGGTCGCGGGTTCAAATCCCCGTCCCACCAAACATGCTCGTACTTTCAGCCGTATGGGCATTATAATGTGACAGTCAATCCCACTATTCGTTGGTAAAATAGTAAAAGGAAACCGTCCTGTTTCCAACACTTGACTTTATCAAAACAACAACCTTATACCTGTTTCTAGACAAGAGTTCTGATTCCAGTGCCTTTTTGTTCTCAGAATTTTTGTTGCAAGGATACACGGGGACTATCTAGGCGCAGTCCTTCCTAGAGCTGATAGGCTGTAGGAAAGAGAGTTAATCAACAGCGCCAACAACCATCACTCTTATAGCACAAACATAACCCCAAAATGCGATTTTTTTTTGCAGTAACGCGAGTCATGAACGCTCGGGCCCACAATCTGGACGTACTTATCAAAGAGCAACTCCCAGATAGATTTCTAGTAAACGTTGCTTCATCCTTATGTTAGAGAGGTAGACAGATACAAGTTTTGTGACATAGCCTTTCACATAGCCTGCTTGTGTACTCAACCTTATCAATTTCTTCTCCGCTTACTTATCTAGAGGTAGAGAGATACAAGTTTTGTGACATAGCCTTTCACATAGCCTGCTTGTGTACTCAACCTTATCAATTTCTTCTCCGCTTACTTATCTAGAGGTAGAGAGATACAAGTTTTGTGACATAGCCTTTCACATAGCCTGCTTGTGTACTCCATATTATCAATTTCTTCTCCGCTTCCTTATCTAGAGGTAGACAGATACAAGATTTGTAACATAGCCTTTCACATAGCCTGCTTGTGTACTCAACCTTATCAATTTCTTCTCCGCTTACTTATCTAGAGGTAGACAGATACAAGTTTTGTGACATAGCCTTTCACATAGCCTGCTTGTGTACTCCATATTATCAATTTCTTCTCCACTTCCTTATCTAGAGATAGATAGGTACAAGTTTTGTGGCATAGCTTTTCACATAGCCTGCTTGTGTACTCAACCTAATTAATTTCTTCTCCGCTTCCTTATCTAAGGACAAGTAGATATGACTTTATTCCGAAACGAGTCACGTGATGCAGAAAGATGTTTTCATTCGGAAGCCTTTAATATTCATTTCACCTGCAATTCCTTTCACCAGTCTTGTCGATGTGATTTTTCTGAGATGTGATTCGTGTGGGTTTTCAAAGGCCACGGAAGGAAACACCTTAAACAGTGAGTTTTAAATATTCTGTTTTCTACTACAGTGCTTCTGAAACGGCCAGTTTTTACTCTAATATTTACAATACTCGAAGGATTTCTGTTTCATCAAAAATAAAACCGACCACATGGATGGTAGTTTAGTTTTAAGTATAACTCCTCTGGTAAAGAAACATGCGTTTCGAATTATGAATAATTATACCAATTTTAACACATCGCTGGCACAGATAAAAAGTACACAGTCAACAAGAAACATCGTGAATATGGCCCGGCATGGCCATGTGGCTAGGGCGCTCGACTCGCAATCTGAGGGTCGGGGGTCGAATCCTAGACCCAACAAACATGCTCGCCCTTTCAGCTGTGAGGGCGTTATAATGTTACTGTTAATCCCACTATTCGTTGGTAAAAAGAGTAGCCCAAGAGTTGGCGGTGGGTGGTGATCACTAACTTCCTTCCATCTAGTCTTTCACTGCTAAATTAGGGACGGCTAGCGCAAGTAGCCCTCGTGTAGCTTTGCGCGAAATTCATAACAAACAAACAAACATCGCGTATGGATACGTCACCTTTCATTTTGAAGACTTACAGCGTTCACATTTTAAAACATGTACATCGCTTTTTCACAATTATTCAAAACATTTTAGGCTGTTTATGACTGAATATCTGTAACAAGTGTGTTTATGTGATATAAAAAAAACACGAAAAAATCCTCCTTAAAAAAAACGAGAGTATATATGAATAGAAAGATGAAACGAACCAGGCAACAAACTCATGAAGAAGTTGTTTTCTTGTCAAAATAGATATAAAAGGTAATCTTAAGATTAGAATAGTTTCACTGGTATTATAATCGCATGACTTATTTTTAACTACCCTAACCGCTCTTCCCTTTGTGAACTTTCTTCTCTAACCCACACCACGACTCAATCTATTCACTTTCCTACCAGTTACAGTGTTCTGTTAGCCATGAACAAATCTAATGAATTTGATTACAGAGATTTTTGTAATGAAAGCCATTTTCAAAGAAAGGGTTTTCTGAACTTGTACTTAGAAGTTTGTTTGTTTGTTTTTGAATTTCGCGCAAAGCTACACGAGGGCTATCTGCGCTAGCCGTCCCTAATTTAGCAGCGTAAGACTAGAGGGAAGGCAGCTAGTCATCACCACCCTCCGCCAACTCTTGGGCTACTCTTTTAACAACGAATAGTGGGATTGACCGTCACATTATAACGCCCCCACGGCTGAAAGGGCGAGAATTTTGGGTGTGACGGGGATTCGAACCCGCGACCCTCAGATTGCGTGTCGAGCGCCCTAACCACCTGGCTATACCGGGCTTTCACACTCTGTAATTCTTGTTTCAATACAACACTTGGAATGCAGGAAAAATTTTATTTGGTGCTGAAATATTTCCTTTTCGTCAGTATTTTCAGTGTGTACGATACTTTCGTTTAAAACATAACATTTTAGAATAGACAAAACTTTTTACCAACGACTTTTCTCAAGCATTTATTCATTGAAACCAAGTTTCCGTAAGAAGAACGGATAACGTATTAGCTCAATTGTGAGTGCATCGCGAGTTAAGCCGGGAATTGTTCTTTGAAAAATTGTAAATAACTTGAAAACTATCGTGATATGAGAATGAGACGAATATGATAATTATCTCCGTTAAATATTAAGTTCTATACCTATGAGAAAAGTATAAGAACGTAACTATCCATTTATAACGTTGAGAAGAACATGGCTGTTTCTGTATGATAAGAAGAATGTAGCTATCCCTTTGGGAGAAAGTAAATGCAAGTGTGTGCGAGTGAAAAATAAAAATAAGTCTTCCATAGGGTGATCGGGAAAATAGAACAATATATGCTTTTGTGATTCTGGGAATATTATCGAGATTTCTTCCATTCGAGTAAAACAGACAGGAAGAAAATTGTCAAGGCTATTGCGCTATATTGATAATTATCAATAGTTTCATTGCCTGGTCATAACCTGTTTATCAGTATTTGCAATCAGATAATATGGCATAAATTTTGTTACACTATTAGCTTCAGAAACAGAAAATGCTGTTATTGTTGTTCACATTTCAATATATAAGCAAACCTTTGCAAAAATATCCAGCCGTTCACTTCACACTTGAAGCAAGTGAAACGATTGCTACAGCATCGATAACAAGTTGATGAACTGCTATAAAGAAACCTGTATTGGTGCTATTGATAGTTTGTATGGATGGCCTTTATTGATGCTATTGATAGTTTGTATGGATGGCCTTTATTGATGCTATTGATAGTTTGTATGGATGGCCTTTATTGGTGCTATATGATAGTTTGTATGGATGGCCTTTATTGGTGCTATTGATAGTTTGTATGGATGGCCTTTATTGGTGCTATTGATAGTTTGTATGGATGGCCTTTATTGGTGCTATATGATTGTTTGTATGGATTGCCTTGTCACTTTCACAGTTATAAGTCTACCAGATCGATAGATACACAACGTGTTTAACGGTCAGACTAATATACCAAGTAATAATGTCACAAGATGTCAACGACCAATCACATGAATAAATTATGTTGTTTTCACTTTCTAAGCTACCAACGTGTTTTTTATCGATCTTAAATGGAACCTGAGATAAATGCTTGTTCTCTATCAGGTAGCAATGCTATGACGCTCGGTGACACGTGCACCTTGACGTCACCCCGCGTTTTGTTCAAAAACGTGAGCTCAAAGAGGAAATGGCATTCGGCCTCGTGCAGCATCGAGATCATCCGTCTGATTCTTGAGCCTCTTGAACCACTAAGCCGGTATGGGAGTTCTAGGAAGGAACGAAACGTGGAATAGCCTTGCATCAGCTTTGCGCACTTCACAACCCACTCCGGAAACAGGTTAGGAAGTTTTACAGTTGATTATTATTAACTACCGATCAGAGCAAACTTCCTTCTGAAAGCGTAATTAAAATTAACCAGATAATGACCATACCTAATTAAATATGATTTTATTACTTATAAAGATCAGAATGCATTGTTTCGTCAGTAAGGTACCCTCGCTGTTAACGATGTTTTCGGTTGTAACTAAATTAACAATAACTATGTTGGCTTTATATGTGGAATGAAGCAAATATTTTAAGAAAATATTTTGTCTCTCATTAATCACTTGTTACTGAACTGTGTTTCTTTACAGTTATTCATGTCCTTGTTTGCTCTATTTTTTTTTTTAGTTCTTTTTAACCATGGTTTCCTATTTTCCGTTAAAATAATCATTTCTAGATCTTACAGTAATTATTGCAGCATGTTCTTGCTTTAAAACATGTGTAAACAGCTATCTACTTACTAAACAGCTATCTGCTTACAACTTGTCCTGGAATAATCTAATATTTTATGCAGTAATTATTGCAGCATGTTCTTGTTTTAAAACATGCGTAAACAGCTATCTGCTTACAACTCGTCCTGGAATAATCTAATATTTTATGCAGTAATTATTGCAGCATGTTCTTGTTTTAAAACATGCGTAAACAGCTATCTGCTTACTACTCTATCACACATACACACACACACACAGACGAACAAAGCAAACCACACACAGTAAACACCCACCAGCAAGAAAAAACAGGCTCTATCACACACACACACAGACGAACAAAGCAAACCACACACAGTAAACACCCACCAGCAAGAAAAAAACAGGCTCTATCACACAAACACACAGACGAACAAAGCAAACCACACACAGTAAACACCCACCAGCAAGAAAAAAAACAGGCTCTATCACACAAACACACAGACGAACAAAGCAAACCACACACAGTAAATATCCACTAGCAAGAAAAAACTGGCTCTATCACACACACACACACAGACGAACGAAGCATACCATACATTAAACATCCACTAGCAAGAAAAAACAAGCTCTACCACACACACAGACGAATGAATCATACCACACACAGCACAGTGCGTTCTCTGATTAACTACGGTTACATATGGAGTTGTCTTATTAACCTTCGACAATTTAATTCAGTTTGTTAAAGATAAATACAGTACAATATACCTTGGGTTGTATTGACCTTTAACTGGAAAAAACTTGTCTCTTCTAAAATTTCGTTCTCCTTTTATCAGATTTTCAGTGTTTTTTAGTAATCATGCTAGAATGGCCACAAGCGATAAAAGTGAAAGTCGATACTACAAATTTTTATATGTTTATTTCAACATTCATCTGAATATATTTTAATGTTAATCAGAGAAAAAAAATGTCGTTTGAAAACGCTCATGCTTCTGCAGTGCTCATCTATTAGAATATAATATTACAAAGTGTTGAATACGTTATGCTAAAACGATGCTAGAAATTCGCCACGTCATTATAGTCCATGTCGCCACGTCCGGTCATACTATATATGATGACCATGCATCTTTACAACAGCCATGCAGCGTAGATTACATTGCAAAAGGCTCCGTCGTAAGGCTTCCGTATCCAAACTCACTACTACTCCCTGCGGGCTTACCATAATCCATCTAGTGTTGGAAGGTGGCGTTTTCCCAGTGCCTGTTTCAACAGTCTGATTGCATAAAAATCTATAGGCTACTTGACCAATATGTATTCATATGGAATAGCATGAATACAGTTCAATGAATACTCGTTTCATTCTCCAGCTGCTTGAGGCATGCGACAGTTGAATAGGAGGTGTGATTGGAAGCCTCATCATGGTGAAGCCATACCCTATTGGCCTCGTTTCCAGATTGAGATCCTTCTTGATTGTGCTACGTACTGTTGCGAGAGGCATGTGTGACAGTTTTTGCAACCGACCTTTATGTTCGTGGACTCTCCTATTTCAAGATGCCACACCTTGCTTAGCACTGCTGAGGTACGACTTGTTACAGGTCCCTATTCCGATGGTCCTGTGTACCCAGGTTGTTCCATATTCCTTTGTTTTCAAATAATTAAGTACAAGTGAACACTAAATTCCCGAATTTAAAACATCTTAATGACATAAATGTATGAACATTTTGCGTCGAAAAAGGCTAACGCATACACTTCCCAACAACGATAATTTTTGGTTATATCACACTACCTATGCAGTGTCAAAATGTAGTTATGATTTATCCGTTCCACTGCGACTTTATATCGGCTGGGGTTGTCACGTTACTGATTAACATAGTCAAAATCGTTATACTTTACAATTAAAAAAATTAGAATATTCGAACCCTTCTGTACTATGGTTGCATCCATTCTAGCCTGCAAAACAACGTTTGATAACACATCGTGGAATCTGTTATGCTAACACCGTTAATATTTAAAGATGAGAGATAAAACATACACGTAACTACATTCTACAGCAAACGTAATTTAAATATTGTGTTAATATTTTTCACCATAATTTTTTGTTTTGACTTTTGGTTGTGTTTTTAATTCTTTTAAATCCAGATTTTCATTATTACAATATTTTTGTTAGTTTTCAGTAAAAATTGGCAAAAAAATTGTTTACCTAAGAGCTTTATTACTAGAAAATTTGTAAAAAATGTATATCTCCTGGACATATTTTTTTAGCGTGTTATTTGTTAGCTATTTGTTTCGCGCATCTTTCTGCGTCTCCGTTTTAAGGTACCAGAAATTTCCTCTTGCTCTGTGGTTGGCATAGTGACACTGACGTCATAGTTGTCTTGTTGCTAGGCGACTGTCTGGGCATAGAACTGCAAGGGACTTACATTTTGTTAGTTTTTAAAATTCATAAGGTGAAACAGATTTCTTAGTTCATAGTTAATAAATTAAGACTTATATTTGTTTATGAAATAACATCATGCAAAATTTTTCTTACAAGAATGTAAAAATGAAATTTTAATAAATTTAAAAATCATATAATGCTTTGAGTGAAACGTCTATACCTGTTGGTAACCATTAACCATCAACGAAATCACATGTTTAGCTACGATTGTGTCAGTTAACTTCATGATTGTTTAATACTGATACAACTTACTCCACTTCATGATTGTTTAATACTTATACAACTTACTCCACTTCATGATTGTTTAATACTGATACAACTTACTCCACTTCATGATTATTTAATACTGATGCAACTTACTCCACTTCATGATTGTTTAATACTGATACAACTTACTCCACTTCATGATTGTTTAATACTTTATACAACTTACTCTACTTCATGATTGTTTAATACTGATACAACTTACTCCACTTCATGATTGTTTAATACTGATACAACTTACTCCACTTCATGATTGTTTAATACTGATACAACTTAC